AAGGTTGAGAAGCTCGTGTAAAACTTAATGATAGTGATTGTCATATTTGGAAAGCAAAGTTCGAGCAAGTTCACTGAAACAGTTTTGGAAAAAATGAGAATAAGAAAGAAATTTCATGATGCGGGCTAAATAAGATATATCCATGCAATTATCATGACCCCAAAAGTCACCTAGTTCAAATTATTAGGGTGGGTGGAAAATCTTTTTGGGTAGATCTGGCCATTTGTAGTGTTGGAGAGATGATGTTATTGACTTGTCTACTACAGGTGAGTTAATGTTAGGAGTCATTGCCACCAATATGGAATGCAATGCTCCATTTGGTGTAGAGTTGGCATCTTTGCCTAGTGCTAAGATGAGACAATTTAGACATTCCTATGGGTATGGTATATGAAAAATACAAAGTATGATGAATTTAAGTTGAGAATGTGCAATCAAATTATAAATAGTATAAACTAAATTTTATTAATAATACAATCTTAATGTTTACGCTCTTCAGACGGAGCCTAAGTACAAGATAAAAAAAAAGTCAAAACACTCACAATAAACCCGTTAGTAAAACCAACGATAATTCACTTGTCTGCTCTCCTACCAATGGTGCCCCTAACTTGATGACTACCCCATAAATTTTCTTCCTAGCTCTCTTTCGCCCCATTCCCTGCCAACCCAACGCTTGTAGGGATAACATTTGTAAAATACTACAGTAGAAATATATAAAATAATAACTATAGAAATCATGGTGATGGTGCGAGTCATGTGGAAACACCAGTGGCTGAGCAAGAAATATTTCTTTGGGGGAGCATAATTTAAATATTTTTTTAAATAAATTTAAGCATAATTTTAAGAAAAATAAAATATTTTTATTTGTTTATCATTAAAAGACAAGAGCAAACACTTACCCAAATGATAAATATATATATTTATAATATATATAACTTTTTTAAATATATAACTTATTTTTTATAAACTTGTCTTAATAATTAAATCTTAAAATTTTGGAGAGGGCACAATATGGTATCCAAGAACATCTAAAATGCTGTTCTTAGTAACAATAGACTAGATGTAGATGGCACAAAATTAACATAATTGAAAATTGTGTAGGTTATCCATTTTATTTAATAATAAGAATTTCTAACTGAATGAATAACTTAATCATTTGATTAACTTACACTATGATTCATGTTAATTCATGAATTATTTTTAGCAGAATCAATCCAATAATTCATCATATGTACATGTTACTATACAAGGTGATTTCCGTACTTGCCACATGATTTTTATGTATTTATATGTCTAATATCTAAATTTTATTATTTTCTTTATTCCAAAAGGAGTTTAAATTTGCAACATATGCTTTTAAATAATAAAAAATTGAATGGCTATTAAGAAATTGAAAGATAGCCTTCAATTTATAAAAGAAACGTTTAAACTCAAGAAAATGATAAACTATTTGTAAGAAATTAGGGACTATATTATGTCTTCGTGCATTTTTTTTAATGTATATATTTTGAAAATGTTCATTACCAAATATGTCTTCTAAATTTAAAATGAATTATGAATTGATTTATAAATCATTTTATTAGCATTGCAAACCTCTGTTACCTCCATAACTATAGTTGGTTAACTCGTAACAAAAGAATTATTTGCTGAAGGTATTATTTGGTTAGCTATTAATGGAAAACTACTATTGTGATGTGCCTTGATAAAATTGTCTTGTTGAGATGTCCACATCTCCCAACAAAATAATTGAGCTTAACTTGGGGCAATGACTTCAAAATCTTGTAAATTGCATAATTTTAGTTTCTTTATTAGGGCAAAGGTATGTCGTCCCCATCCCCTTTTAAAAAAAAAAGCATTCAAGCAGCACAATGGAATGCATGGCTGTTAAATAGTAAAAGATTGTGGCTTTATGTTGAGTGATATCATACATGCATGATGGTATATAGTGGAACTTAGTGACATTGGAACCATTGACATTAAAAAGTTATCACCATGATTTTTTGCTATCATATTCTTGGGTGTAGGTTCCATGTAAGACTAATACTTAGAACTACCAATTCCTTCATTACAAAGTTGACATGCTTTTAATGTCGACAACAATTATGTCATGATAGTATTTTTAGTAAGACTCGTCCGCCTGCTGCAAAATATTTCATCAAATATTCTTTAAGATAACACTATTTTCATATTGTCACACAATGCCATCTGGACTTACTTTTCATGCATGCAATGGAAAGTGACCATTTATGTTATGCTATTAGAAAAATAAAATTTATAACTAAGCCCTCGTATCTCACACACCTTAAATGAAGATCTACATAAGATGTCTTCTGGGAGTTTTCAGTCTTGTAGTGGTAGAGTCCCAATGCCAAGCTACAATAAACTTTCTTGATAAATATCAAACCTCATTTTATAGAGACACAACAGGAGGGAATAGTTGATATTTTAAAGCAACAACTTAGTGGTGTTATATTTCTTTGTATATGGCACTTCTCAACGTGTTGCATTTCATAACAATTTCTTACTCCACAAAACTACTTTTGCAACATTCACTAGCTATAGCGTTTATTCGTGTTACCAATTGATCATGATGATCAAGTTTGAGCATAGTGAAATGCATGTCACAGAATAAGCTATCTAGGCATGTTGCCAAGACAAATACGTCCTTAGTGCAACATGACTTGATGGCCCGGCTCCATCGGGAGGGTGAGTTGGTAGCTCAAATTTTCATTTTTTCTTTCGCGCCGAGCTTTGCTTACCTGGTCAATCATCAATCCATTGAGGCCCCAAACTTAATTCATGATTCAGTCAAGTGTCAACCTATTGCAGTTCCTGCCACCTAGACTTACCAAGTCTCTTTTGTGCTTTCTGTCCGTTGGCTCCACCTAAAATCACCAAAAAAGAAAAATACATAAATTTTCTAGCAGTTACACAACACTCTCCATATGGATTAATGCTTTAGTTCTACATTCAAGTAATTGAGCAAATAGATTCCCTGCCAGATCTAGAATAAGCTCCGTAAGCCATTAAGAGTTTCCTGCCATACAGTTGCCTTCGGGTCACTTTGTCTAACTACTTTCTTTGTTCCTAACATATTAGGTGAAGAATCCTAAGCCCATAGTTCCTCCAGTGTGGCCCCCAATCCAGCCCTCTAAACTCCTGCTGCAATGTCAATTGGATAGCTATAAACTGCCACTGGATCTCTATTTGTATTGAACTTGGCAAAGATCATAAAACACATTTCATAAAAGTCATGAAAATATTATATTTCATTTTTGTTTATTTCATTTCATTTGTTTATGTATACTTATTTACGTTTCTTGTCAACTTATTATGAAATAAATTAACTTATAAATTTGTTTGAAATAAAATGTAAATATAGAATTTCCTGATAAATCCATATAATATTTAACAAATCTATTATGCAAAATGCAAATTTGAAGAATTTTTATAATGCAGGAATCGAAAGTTAGTTAGCAAACGGAAGAAATGAATTTGATAGACTAGAGTAATGAAGTTCTTAAACTCCGATGCGAATATCTTGAAAATGTCTTGAAAAATTTTATTATTATATTATATTGTTTAGATTATATAATTTATTTAAGAGTGGGAACATGGTTTCCATAGGATTTCAAATTAAAATCCTTTAATGAGATTTTATTCTTCTCTATTTCAAGTTTTAAATCTTAGATAAATATGAGATAACATTATTTCAATATAGAACCTTATCACAGCCCATTCATTTTTTCTTTTCTGGTTTCATTTATTTCGTTATAGCAAGTGGATATTTATTACAATTGTGTGTGTCTCTTTTTCATCTCCATAAATTATGAGACAAGTAAAATTAAAAATCATTATAAATTAGAAGAATAAATGTAAAATATATTTATGTTTCTATATGAAACATTACAACATTTTTCTGTCATAATATTTTAGATCTGAAATTTTGAAAGAAGAAAAAGATCTCATTCATGAAGTTCAAAACCTAATTTGAAATTCTTGCATTGCATGTTTTCTTTATTTTTTTTTTTAATTTTATTTTCTGAAATATGAGAGGACATTTTAAAATTGAACTTTTTCGTGTCCCATTCACTTTTTTATAACTCTCTTACACTTTCCTGTACCACATATTATATAGAAAAACATGGATTTCACTAGATTTAACAATTTACCACAAATTGATATTAAAGTTAACATCTAGTACAAATACATTAAACTAACTTTGCTTGTGTATTCTATGAGATTGACTATTTGATTTATATTTGTTCGTTACATTGTTATCAAAATAACTTGGCATTCTCAAGGCGATATGCCGTTGGGTATTAGGTGCTACACTAGGCATTTCTACCAGTGAAATGAGGTATCAAGATGAAACAATTATTTCACCCATGAACTAATTACAAGTATTATCAATAGATTTTAAGTATATGAAGTGATAAATAAACAAATTAGAGAACACATTTCGCTTTTCTGTTTATGAATTTCTATATTTCTATCTTTTCTTCTATAGCTTAAAACTCATCTTCTTCATCTTCAAGATTTACCATTTAGAACTTGAACTCTTATGCTTATAATTTTTCTAACTAGTTTTTAGGAGAACAATCTTGTTTCTCTACCCTTGATTTTATTTTTGCATCAACTTATGCTAAATTATATCATGAAAAGCTGAGAAATCTTTTGCATTGTAAGGAATATCACGAATCTCTTCATACAATGCAAAATGCTCGCTTAAGTGTGCCTTAGTAATGGTGATTTTCTTGGAGTTGCGTTGCATGCTATGTAATCTCTTCCCTTGCTTGAATGCTTAGGCAGGAAGCTAACAAAGAATACTAAGATAGAGATTAATATAATGAATTTTAATAATCTGTGAGTGATATTAACCCTACCTAAATTAAACTCACAAGACTTACCAAATTATTGAAGTAATAAATTAGATAATAATTTGAAGCGTCTTTACGTGTGTATGTGCCATTTGTACTTATTTTTAGTATTTGTCCATGCAGAATTTGCTCTCATCCTCCATGGACATGACCGTTAGGCTTTGGCACTTGTCTAGCAATTCTTGTTTGAAAATATTCACACACAATGATTATGGTATGGCATCTGTTTATTTGCACTTTCTCTTGCTTTTGCTTTGTTTTATCTGTGATGGTAAACATATTATTCCAATGCAGTGACATGCATCCAGTTCAATCCTGTTGATGATAGATACTTCATTAGTGGTTCTCTTGATGCGAAAGTCCGCTTATGGAATATCCCTGATCGACAAGTTGTTGATTGGAGTGACCAGCATGAAATAATCACTGCTGTTTGTTATAAACCTGATGGACAGGTTCTGTATTTTTTAATAAAATTTTTCTCCAATTTTTCCTTTACCTCATCACTGTACACTAACATTTCATTCTTAGTGGTTTAATAGTTGTTTGTCGCCTTCTGCAGGGTGCTTTAGTTGGTTCAAATGTAGGCAACTGCCATTTGTATGACACTGCAGGTAATGATAAATTAGATATTCCTTTTTTAATTTGCCAAGCTTCGCAACCCATATTATTTCTTTCACATAAAATTTCTCTTTATTTTCCCCTTCTGTTTCTTCAAATCACTGACTTTTCACTGCTTAACGTGTTAATTTTCTCATGTTTATTTTTCTTATCATTTGGCAGATAATAAGCTGCTTCAGAAAAGTACAATCGATTTACATAACAAGGCGAAGAAATCCAGTCACAAGAAAATCACTGGTTTCCAGGTATATATATGTTTAATCAATGATTTTTTACTAGCAAGCAATACCAATAGCAATAGAGCATTGATGCTCTGTGCTTAATGAAAACTTTGAAATCTGATTTGGAGATAACATGACCTGCTGGGGCATTTTTTATGCTTTTGTAATGCACAAAGTTCTCATTGGAATGATGGTTGTGCAGTGCCTTGAATGTCATTATCTAGTAGATGATACCATTTAAGATTTTTTTTTCTTTCACTATACATTGGCCATTTTGATATCTGATTTGAAGATCACCTGTTGGGACATTTTTTTATGCTCTGTAATGCACGAAGTTCTCATTGGAATGATGGTTGTGTAGTGCCATGAATGTCATTATCTAGTAGATGATTCCATTGAAGAACATTTTTTCACTGTACTTAGGGCTACAAACTTGCCAAATTGGGCCAATAAAATTAGCCAAAAGCTTATTAGAGCTTGCTTCATTTTTTTATTATTGACCTTTAAATGAGCAACTCATGTAAAAATATAAATGAGCGCTACCATGCCGAGCGTATCGAGCATCATTTTTTTTAATAAAATAAGTTTTTTAAAAGGGTGCAAGAAGTACCATCCTAAAATATCCACCCGCGAGCATACTTCTAAATCATTTAGTATGTCATCATGTCCCATGTGATTATGAACTCAACAAATTGAAACTGAAACTATGATTTAGGTCTTAGTAAGTTAAACTTCCAAATGATGTGGGATGAAGTAGCTGAGACTGCAATTTTTTCAATGGATCTTGTAAGTAGTATAACTAAAACTAGAACTACAATACCTAAAATTGAAACTAGAATAGATATTTTTAATTAATTTTTTCATTAGTTTTTTAAAGTTAATTGCTAAGTCTTCCATTTATAGATTATTCAAAGTTTTAAAAAAAAACTTATATTTCTTATGTACACATTAATGGTTAATATTAATGTTAATGAGTTTTATAAATTACTTAATTGAGACATAATATTTAGTATCATATTGAGCTTTCATCAACTTTTATATTGATTAAGCCTTAATGAAATTTTTTTAGTGAGCTTAAACATGAGTTTTAAATGATAATATTTATGATCATTAATGAATTGGTTACAAACTATTCTGGTTTGTTTATTTAGCAATCAATTATTTATAAAACTTTTCAAAATTTTTCAATTAGTTAATCAAATGATCGGATTTGTTTATTTAACAATCAATTATTTATAAAACTTTTATAATCTGTTAAATTAGTTAATCAAAAGATTGTGAGTGAGCTCTAATCAAATCTAGCTATTTGTTGTTGGTCGAATGCTCTGTTCCTTTGAAGTTCTAGTTATACATAGTTCTTGCTTTTTCTAATTCCAGATTTTTGTATTTTATCAATTTTGTACAATCTTATGAATGGTTATACGGACAATTCTCTGACTCGTGTCATCAAACAGTTTGTTCGAGGCAGCTCATCAGAAGTTCTAATCACATCTGCTGACTCACGAATTCGACTCGTTGATGGTAGCAATCTTGTTCACAAGTTCAAAGGTAATTTCTTTCTTTTATGCTTCAAGATTAGTTCTTATAGCCTTGCGTTCTAACTTGTGTAAATCTATGTAAAAATAAAATAAAATCATATTATTAGGTAGATGTACTTTAATACGTGATATGAAGCGGCTGATTTTGAAGAGCAAAAATGAATGCATAATTTATCTCACTTGTGATATAGTAGTCACAGGTTTGAGCCATGAAATCATTCCTTTTATAAAAGTAAGGATAAGATTGTGTGCTTCACATGAAGTAATCATTGGTTGAAGCTTCATCTACTTGGTTCTCTTATTAGCATCAAATTTCATTATCGTAATTCACATTACCATACGTGCGGAAACATTATAGGTGAAAATGAGGTAATTCAAGGTTTTTTCTTGTTGGATCATGGAATTCATATAATCTTGTAAATAATCTACAAAATGTTCATGCATGTACTTGCATTCCTCTCTATGCATTTATTATATTCTCATGGCTTCAGGCACATGTATGTAAAGCTCAAATATATGCTTAAACTTACTGTATCTTTTTTCTTTTATTTTGTGACATTCTCTCTTTTGTTTTGAGCTTTTTTATTTGGTTGTTTACATGAAACTTACTGTATCTTTCTAATGGTGCCCGTTGAATTGAGTACACGTGATTAATTTCCTCTTGTATTAGGGTTGTTATTCTGTATGGTCTGGAGTGTTGGACATTAAAAGTACATCAACTATCAAGTTGAGTATATTATAAATGAAAACATTACCTTAAAAAATAGATCTAAATATGATTTTATTAGAGAGACGGTGAAACTTGCACCTATTGTTGATGATGTACTAGAATATAAAATTAAATGATTTATCATATAAAACAGAGCGTAAAAGATACACGAATAATACAAGATTATATTGAATAACCTGTTTAAACTAGTGCCAAAACCTAGCATTAAACATTAAAAGAATTAGGAAGTTGGATTCAAATTGTTGGAATAGGTTTAGTAATGATGATGATGATCTTCATTTTTTATCTTTTCTTTTTTTCCTTCTCTGAATTAATTAAATGGTTCCTTCTAATGTGATGGAATTGTCAACATGGTAAAAGCTAAAAGTGTGGATTGATCATAAAAGATATCCATCTTCTTCCTTCTTCCAGGGTTTCACAACACAAGCAGTCAAATTTGTGCCTACCCAACAGCAAATGGCAAGCATGTTGTCTGTGCTAGTGAGGACTCTAATGTGTATGTATGGAGATATGATGTTGATAGAAGTCTAAGTAGAAGCGGTGGTGTTGTCAATGCCTCTCAGTCCTACGAACACTTTCATTCTTTGGGCGTCACTGTTGCTGTTCCCTGGCCTAACACTAGCTCGAGGTCCGAAGAAATTTCCTCGTCTGTTAATTGCAAGGAAGACGACCTCAATTGTATATCAAACCTTAATAACAATTCATCCTCAGACAAACATAGTTGTCATAGCAGTCGAGATCTTTCTAGTGGTATTTCGGTGCAGCAGAGCGGGTTGGCTTGGGGAATGGTGATTGTAACTGCCAGCCGAGGAGGTGTGATCAGAATATATCAGAACTATGGATTACCTCTTCGTGTATGACCGACTACATGGCATGAGACTTTTATTTACATGCCAAGAGCTATGAGCTGCTTATTCTGCAAATGTTTTGGTTGGATACTTGTAGTGGTGGGATAAGTACTCTTTAGGGCTATCTTCGTTGGCATATCCCTCTTAATTTTGTTCTTATATTTTTTCATGTATGTGGGCAAAATAGAAATTTGTTGTGTAGCCTTAAACGGTGTGGTGGATATTGGCGCCTCTGTGGGAAGTAGTTGCTTATTTTGCTTTTGTACTGGGATTTTCCAGGGAAAATAGAGAAAGATAAGATGTAAAGATATACAAGGGACTGAAGTCATTTATTTAAAATTTGTTTATGAAATTGAAATGTTGGAAGGAGAAGTGGGCTAAAAAAAATAATGTGCTGCGAGCAATTAACTCTAGTGGCTTATATTTTCAGCTAGTGGTTGTTTCCATCGGTGTATGCTTATTGAGTCAAATTCATGATATATGGTAAGGGTTTTCAGCTTTTATTTATTTCTTCTTTTTCCTCTGATTTTGTTTTTGTTCTCAATTTCAGAGATGTTTCGGTCAGGAACTCTTTTTTTATGCTTATGTTTTATTCATAAGGCTGCCGTACTGGTAATTCTGCTTAAATTTCTTCTGCAGAGTCCGGCATGGCAGATGAAGGTGTCTGGGTGGGCGGGCGATTGGGCGGATTTGCTGTAGTGGGGAAACTTGAGATTAATCAGGTAGTTGTTTTGTTGATTAATGGCAGCCTCATTTCCGCTTTAGCTGACTATTTAGACGGTGTTTGGTAGCTTATTATTTATACGATTTAATCATAAATTTAGCTTAAATCCAACCAACACCCAAAAAAGAAAAAAATTTAAATTCAACGCTACGTCAATTACAATTTTCTCGCGTTCAATATATTCTTCTCCCATCACATCACTTTTGAGACATCAATGTGGATTTCGTAAATCCGATTGCGAGCCGGATTTATTCCGCCATCACTCATGATTTCTCGTCACTGACCACTACAAAAATTAAGTAAATTTGCATTGGACAGATTGGACGTAAAACAATGGCAAATCCGACGTTCGTATGCGATTATCATCTAATTTGCATTTGTTTTGTGTTTGTTTTTTTTTTTTGCAGGTAAAGCATGAGTCGATAATGTAATTTACGTTGTATTTACGTCAAAAAATTTTGAAACAAATTTTTTTATCGTATTTTCGGCATATTTGCTTCGGTTAATATCGAAACTGACAGAGTGTTCATTTTGTGATCGAAAATATCAACATAAATAGTTTACGTCGAATTTCTGGTGTGCTTGTGTTGTTTATTATCAAAACTAATTTGTGTCGGAAAATATCAAAACTCGTCAAAAGATAATTGTTGTGTGAGCGTCTGGATATTCAACGCAAATCTGTAACACAGAAAAAAATATAAAAGAAAGATTAGATTCGTACAACTTAACCAACAAAAACTATATATCACAACAACATATTAATTCATTATAGCAACACAAAGTTTATAGCTCAAATAAATACCAACAATGAAAAATGATATAATGTAACAATTTGTCCCAATTTTCAACAGTAAAACTCACATAGAATTCCATAATAGAAGTTCAAAGGAATGCTGAAAAATAAAAAGAAAACAGAAAAAAAGCCTCCTAATTATCATCTCCTTCCTCCTCATCCTCAACTACAGAAGTCATCGACTGCTTGCTTCGGCGATCTGCTAAACTCTCTGCCATGCGTGCCATGAAATCTTCAATCCTATGTTGGCTTTGAATCATCTAATCACGCAACTGATGCAACTCTTCATTCATTATAGCGACATGCTTGACAAGTGTCTCATGATCCAGCTGTGATGAGCTTGGGAAATTTACAAGAGTACAAAAGATCTCACAACTTCGAATCCTATGCCCTTCGCACCGTGGCCATAAATCCTCTCCTTTCTTGTCGTCTGCGTTCAAAGCTCAAACTCGAACTGCATAGTGGTAGAATGGTTACCACTATTGCTAACGGATGTTTGGGGTCGAGGCAAAGTGCCTCTCCCAATGTTGCTCGAACTCCACCAACATAATTAAAACGAATGTTTAATTGCCACTTTGAATAGTAAGAGTCTAATGCATGTATAAAAATCAATATATTACTTACATTCACCTGTCGGGAGTGTTCGGAGACCCACTGCTGCGTCCATAGGCACCGATGGGCTCTGCATGCAACTCTACAACGGAGTGCTCACGACTAAACTCCTTGGCTTGTGTAGCATTGGAGAATGGTAAGCACCACATAATTACATCAAACATTGATTTTTTTATTATTTATAAGAATCATACCAACCTCCTATAGTACTCTATATGGGAGACCAATCCTGCAATATGGAGTGCAGCTCCTCTAGCCTCCTTGGTCGCCTGGTCAATTGAGCTCAGACCTCCTCACCAATTCAGACGGGTTGCTCTACCTTCCAGCGGGTTGTGGTGAACATGTCACCCAGTCGATGATGCTACAAATCTCGAAGATTCGACAGATCTGGTGGTATGCTCTGCTAGCCAGGTGAAGGATCTTTGCAACCTAAAAAATAATCCATGTTTATTAGTATATCAAAATAAATTAAATTTATAATTTCAATTAAAATTAAATGATCCTAACTCGAACTCTCGAAACCTCATGTCTCGAGTGGGCAATAGGAATCTGCTTCCAAGAGAGATACTGATGATCGTATCTGCTCCAAAGTATTTCCGTGATGTATGTTACAACAGGAAGCTTATGCAGGATGAATCTGAAGAAGAAAAATTAGTTACAAAAAATATCTAAAATAAACGACGAACATAAATGTTAAAGATAACTTTTGTGTCTCCCTCCAACAGAATATTGACCTTCACAGGAGCGGGAGTCGAGGCGTCAGGCTCATCGAAGGAGGCAGCTAGAGCCCAAAAAGGAAGTGGTACATAAGTGGGTACAGTAGGCGTGATTGTAGTAGGCAGGGCTGCAATTGGTAGTCGATACAGCAACAGTAGATGTGACAGCGGGTATCACAGTAGGTTTGGCAACAGGCGGGGGAGCAGGTGCAGATGTAGGTGTGGAAGAAAATAAACCCTTCTTCTTGCTCCGGTAGGTGGCCTCTAACGTGCCGAAAATACAGGTTCTCGGGTAGCTGACCACCTGCATCACTTGTGGCCTCGAGAAACTGACCACTTGCACCACTTGTGACCATCTATAACAAAACAAAGACATTACTAAAATTATTACTTACAGCAAAAATAATCATGAGCAGTATAAAGGTGCAAAATATGAAACATATGATAATTCCTTCAATAAAAATACAAGAGAAGATATAAGTAGCAAAAGTAAACACGGAAAGGTGTTAAATCAAAGTAAGACACAAGTCACAGCTACATCTAACAATAAAAAAAGTAACAATAAAATTTGTTCTTCAATGTCATCATCATTATCACCCATATTATGAGGAACCTTTTCATAAATCTTGTGGTATCCTCTAGGGCAAACATTTCTTCCTTCGTACCAGCTTGAATGCGAAAAATCTAACATACCTTGCTCTTGGTTAATAGGTTCAAAAGTTTTTTGCATTTCAATAGATCTCCTTGGTTTATTCTTCATAGCCACAGCCTATTCAACTTTATCCATTGCTCTACCAGGATATCAAATGTAATAAATCTGAGTAGCTTGATGTGCTAGAACAACTTGATCAAACTTCACATATCGTCTGTTCATTTTGACTTCGGTGATATCATAAGGAGTAAGTGTTCATGTTCCTTGATTCAAAACATGATCAAACCACTCACAATTGAATAAGTAGCCAATGTAGTAGCATAACCTGAATATTGCAACTGAAGTACTTCTCTAGGTACGCTATAATAGCTAAGTTTGCTCTGTGTGTGTTTACTTTAATACAAATGCAACAATCGTACGTCTTCTTCCCTTCACACCAGAAATTCATGTGAAATCTATAACCGTTTACATTAAATATTTGTCATGTAGTAACACTACACTTAGACCCCTAGAGAAGATTTAATAATATCTGATTCGTAAATACGTTGCTTCTATTGTGGACCTATAATAATTTCAAATGTATAATTAGTCTAACTTTGAACGTGACTATTATATTACGTACTTGTGAATTCAAAAGTTGCTTCAACGTACGTATAATTTGAATCATATTAAAAATTCTACTTCGAGCTTCTTGCTTTTTGGAGACTAATCTTGTTCAAACTGTCGATGAATAACTGACTCTCATCATCATTATTTGTATATTCGAATTAATTAGTATATATAACATTTTGAGTAATAAATGAGAGTATCGAGTCTGGACATTATAAATCTTACTGTATAAATGGTTTTACTTTGTCGCAGTTCATTAAAGCATGTAATATAGCTGCTCAAATCTCTTTTATTGCTTAGATATTGTGTACCATGCCTCCCCGTTGACTCTCTTGATATTTGAAATATAGAAAATTCTGGCTAAATTCGTCGTCGATGATGAAGTTAAAATTTCTTCTTCAGTGTCATTATTATGAAGTTAAAATTCATATTATGGGAACATTTTCATAAATCCCGTGGTATCCTCTAGGGTAAACATTCCTTCCTTCGTACCGGCTTGAATGCAAAAATCTGACATACCTTGCTCTTGGTGAATAGATTCAATATTACTTTGCATCTCAATAGATTTCCTTGGTTTATTTTTCATAACCATAGTCTGATCAACTTTATCCCTTGCACTACCAGGATATCAAATGTAATAAATATGAGTAGCATGATGTGCTAGAACAAATGAATTAAACTTCGCATATTGTTTGTTCTTGTTGACTTTGGTGATGTCATAAGCAGTAAGTGTTCGTGTTCCTCGATTCAGAATAAAATCAAACCACTCATAATTGAAAAAGTAGAGAATGTGTGTAGCATTACTTGTATATTGCAATCGAAGTACTTCTCTAAGAATGTTATAATAGCTAATTTTGTTGTGTGTGTTTCCTCTAATACAAACACCATAATTGCATGTCTTATTTTCCTTACACAAGAAACTCGTGTGAAATCTATAACTATTTACATCAAATATTTGTCATGTGGTAACACTACGATTAGACCCTCAGACAAGATCTAGTAATCTCTAATTCATATTTCTGTAGATTGTATTGTGGACCTATAATAATTTCTAATGTATAATTAGTCTACTTTAAATGTGATGATTATATTTCGTAGTTGTGAATTCATAAGTTGCTTAAACATTCGTATAATTTGAACCATATCGAAAATTCTTCTTTGAGCTTCTTGCTTTTTAGAAACTAATCTTCAATGTTCAAACTATCGTTGAATATCTAATTTATATATATATATGTACTGGGATTTTCTATATATATATATATATATATATATATATAGATACTGTTCGAATTAATTATTATAAATAGCATTCTAAATAATAAATGAAAGTATCGAATCTAGACACTATAAATCTTATTGTATAAATGGTTGGGTTTCGTCGCATTTCATTAGAGCATACAATGTAACAGCTCAAATATCTTTATCGATTAAATATCGTGTGTCATGCCTTTCTGATGACTCTCTTGATATTTGAAATATAGATAATTCAAGGTGTGAAGGCATGTCACCTAAAAAATGACCTATTAGGTGTCTTTACTCAAAATAATAGGAACAAAAAATAATTGTCTCATGTAGCAAGTATGTTTCGCATATTGATCCCTTTTAATATATTTTATTTATAATAGTTTTTCTATTTAAAAATCTACACCACAAAGATTTTTTATCAAATATGGTAGTAGTTTAGTATGAAATAAATGTAACTCGCAATTATATACATCGAGAAGACATACCTCTCGAAGGGATAAATTCATTTATACTGCACTAGACCCCTCCGGTATCGCCTCATAACATAGATGTATGGGCAGATACTCTATAGAGTCAAAGAAACTTGAACGAAAGAACTTGAATAATAATATGAGAATACTCTCATAAATTCTCATCAAGTCAACATTCAGAGTCCTTGCACAAAGCTTTTGAAGAATATACTTATTTCGATCAATGAATTAAACATCAGCGTGGACAGTTCATTAAATGCAATATGCAGTAAGCACTACAAAAATATATGATAGTTATGACTCTTCATGCTGAATACCTTCCCCATTCCCAATTCAAAATAGCGATTCAAATTTGAGACACATCCACTGGGAAATTTCATAGAATTCACTCGCTCAAATATTGTTCTCTATTGATCTAGTGTAATACAATATGTAACTCCGTGTTTTATTTATTTACCTGTATTTATCTCTTGAAGTTTCAAAGTCCTCATCTTGTAACATTTTTAAGGGTCAATTTAGCTTTCACATTATCTTTTGTTTTACCCTTGATATTCATCATTGTATTGAAGATGTTATTCAAATTTTTTTTCTCAATATGCATAGCACTGAGATATGTCTAATCAGATTAGTCTGTCAATATGAAAGATTCTAAAATATACCCTACTTAGTCCAGTTATGTGTGACACTGAAATCAGGAGGACGAGTTGAAGCTAACTCCGGTCTCTCGGTGATCTTTGGTACTTCACTGATCATCTGCAATGAATCAACCCCAGTTATCCTAGAGGTTAGATTTAATCCTATTTTTGAAGAGTGTATCTCTATTCCTTCTAAATGGGTGATCGAGGCCTAAAAATCTTCGGTGCCAGTCGAGCCACTCATTTTTTCCTTTCATGTTTTAGAGTGAATGCCTTTGACATATCCATGCAGTAAAGATGAGCCAAATTTCTGGTTGTGCTCCAACCAAATAGCATCCCATAGGCCGAGAAATCATTAATTGTTCATTTAAAAGCAGCTCTCAATTAAAATTCAGTTTCGTAATGATGTCATAAGTAAGCACACCAATTTCCCACAATATTTAAAGCTCGCTAATCAGAGATTGTATTTAGACGTCAATTTGCTCCGTGTATAATCAACATAAAAAATAAGAATAACACGGTCATGAACATATTAGGGGGCAAATTATACGACATAAGGATTAATGACCAGCATGAATATAGTGTTGCAGTGTGACTGTATGGGGTGAAGTCATCTGCAAATAAGCTAAGTCTGGATGTGTACGATCAAAATGTCTCCAAGGCTCACCATGTGGCGAATAACTCATTGAATTAGTTTCAACAGATTCAGTACTATGCTACATGATGTGAGGATCTGTACGCATAGAAGGGAGCAGACTCTGAAAATCGGGATATGAGCAAAAAGTAAAAGAAATGCTTGTATAGGATATTTTTCTGATTTTTACTCTTTTGCCCCATTGTTTGAACCTAATAGCATCATAAAATTGATAATTCGTCTCAATTGCATTAGCATTATAATATATCATGCAACCAATATTACAATGATTTATCTTCTTAGAAAATATATAGATTTTCTCTTTGTACATGTCAGGATCATATTCTTCTGTGGGTTTTGTACATGTCATCTGAAACAAAATTCCCTCTTTCAATAATTTTGCTACATGATTAAATTTTTTTTTGAGCATGTTAAAATCAAATTTGATGTTCAACATTCTCAGCACCATGAATAAATTAATATGTGTAGTGCAACCATCCTGTAAAGGTTGTTGTGCAGCTTTTAATAAGTCAAAGAACTATTGCGATTTATTATAAGGTGTTTCACTTTCGTGTGGAACACTCCCAACAAAATGAGCTTTTCAAGTATTATGAATCATTTCTTATACGTATCAGGATCATATTTTTTTGTTGGAGCATAACTTATTGTGACACCAACTTGATTATACTGAATTTCTAGTTCTTGCACACCATATGATGCCCATTACACTTAATTTAGTTTGAATCTCTTGCGGTAAGGATTCAACTTGACTTCTTTGGATCACATATACGCTTGATTTTTGTGTTTCACACAAGAACATTAGAATTGATCCTCTGAACGGTGAATGGGTAGCTATAATGTCACTTGCACAAATTCCTCAACAACATTCAAGAACTCATCATTGAGTTCTGTCTTAGACATAATCTTTTATAAATTTAAGATCTCAAATTTCGAATATTCATCTGCAACATGAATGTAGCTTTGTAGATCAATACAACTATTAGGGAAAAAAAATTATCATAATTTCATAGAACATATTTTTTAGAAAAATTATCAAAATTCACAGAAAATATATTTGATCTATTTGGACTGTCATAATGACATGCATATAGTAATCTGAAAGCTCTCGGGTCATTTAGGTTGTGTTTGTTTTGATAGTGGTTGTATGAAATTTCACCTCAAAAGTTGTGAAAAATCTGTTTAAATGCTGGTGTTTTAGAAGCATTTGTTCTATTTGATGATTTACGTTTTAAAAGTACTGCAGTTTGTAGCGCGAGCGCACTCACATGACATGGGGGTGTAGTTAGCAGTGTAGGTGCATCCATTTGGTATGAGAGCGCCGCAAGATAGCGTCGCGAAGGCACTGTAGTAAGCTGCGCAAGCACCCCCACATGGTGCAGGGGCGCTATAATAATTTGTGTGGGACACTCGTATGGGTGTGGGTACGCCACATTTGAAAGCCTATTCCAAAGAGCGAAAGTGTGACATCAATCACAATCCTGTGATATTGAAAAATTTGCATTGTGGTTTTAAACCGCGATCCATTGACAAATTTGCATTGTGGTTTTAAACTGCGATCCACGGAAGCTCGATTTGAACATGATTCAGAAAGTTGGTAGAAAAATGTCTCAAATAATTTGTATGGCAGAGGATTTTAGTTCTGTATTTACGTATGTTATTTTTTTTAAATGTTTTACATTTTATAAATTTGTAATCATATATTGTATTATTATTATTATTATATTATTTGGATATTTATTAAATAAACGGTTATATCATCATGAATTTTAATTTTTTTTCCCTTCATTTCATTCATTATGATATAAATTGTTTAAATCAGATGGTTAATTCCTTGCATTCATTTTGATGGGTATATAGAGATGGCACTTTTTATCCCTTAGAGTAAGTTCCACTATAAAAAAATGGGTGACATTTATATACATATCACATACTTTCAATTTGTATGCATAGCACTAAAATTATTCACATACCTAAAATATCATTATAATTTATTTTTTATAATTGAAATATATTTTTTCATGCAGGAGTAATGTAAATATAAAAAATTAAACTTTTCTTAATATTCAATGATATAAATTATGTGTATGTATATACTTTTAATTTTTTTTTTTAATAAAGTCAATCTCAGTAGGAAAGCTCCTTAGCACCATGCGATACCATTTATCAGAGGCAAGTATTACTGTGGAGTTTGTAGGGCTCCATCTCTAAAATATCAGAGCTTCAGATTTACACCGACATTCCAGAAAAAGTTCTAAATGATTTTCTCGCCATGGTCTACACGTCATTATATTTGGTCCCATCAGTTACACTTGTCAGTCGAACAAGCCATGGACGCTGGACTGCCCACCTGCACACCGCTACTGTGGCACCTAATCACGGATCGCTGAAGGAGATTCTGAAGCTCTGCACTCCCCCATGCCTCATAATTTGATAATTTCAGCATGCAGCGCGAGGAGAATAATATCGTTGGCGCAGAAATGTAGCACCTGATGAAATCCGAACGTCGAAGTCTTAGTGGAGGATACTTCGTTGACGTGGAGGATTGTGGGGCCGTTGTTTATCTTAACTTATCCTGAATCCACCCTAGTCATCCTCGTGCATAAAACTTCGCCATCCTCTTAATTTCTCCTCAGCCCCGCCGCATCTGATAGTTCTCCATGGCACTCCAGGCCTCCTCTTTTCTCCCATCCGGCCTAACCGCACAGAAAGAGGTTGATTTTTTTTCCTTCCTTACAATTTTATGTCCAGCTGCTTCTTTTACTTACCTTCATCTTTTAATATAAAAATTATCTGGCTTGGTGCAGGGGAAGGCCAATAGAGGACTCAAGGACTCGGCCTTTTTGGGAGTTCATTTCTCTGAGAACCGCATAAAGTTGAGCCTCGGTTCACCTTTGTTTTCAGGCGGCAAGGTAAGTAGCTGGCTAGGCTAAATGCTCTAGTTTCCACTTTCCTGGGTTTTTGGCTACAGGAAATGTCATAGAAATTGAATTTAGTCTGTTAATACAATTCTATAATTGATAACTGATCTTCCTACCGTGAATGGGGCATTTGACTTGTTGGTTTTCTATATCTGAGCCCTTTCCATCAGTGGTTTGGGGGTTTCTTTCTTTCTTTATTTTTTTATTTTATTTATTTTTTTATTTTTAAATTTTTTTATGGTTCAACTAGTGCTTTTGTGATGTCTTTGCCATCCGGGAAAAAAAAAGTTTGCTGAATTAAGAAGTTGGGCGGATCCATGTTAGCATAAATTTTTCTGTGCGAGTGTGTCACTTGATTCAAGCTTGCCCTTTCTGCAAGTTGCACTTACATATCTATCACACAATTCTTATTTATTTATACTTCTAACACCCAAACATTCATATTAACATGATATTTAACATCACATAAAAAATATCCCCATTACTATCTTTTTAAAAGTTAGATACACTTTTTCATGCGTAGATTTATGACGCCAAGATATCATCAGTATAAATATCAAACTTTGGGTGTTAGATACGGTAATACATAAGAATTGTGTGGTATGTATATAAATTTCCCTAAATATTATTTCTTTTCGCAACTGCATTGAATCACCCTGCTGCACTGCTACATCAAATATCAAGATGCACTCCAGCTTAGTTTTGACCTTCAAATGTTGTTTTTCACAAATTCAGCCAATTTGGCAAGCTTGCTGTGTGTAGAATGTAATGTGGGCACAACAACTTCGGATCGTAGTCTTGGCACATGTGTGAGCCAAACTTTGTTGGGAGAAGCCATGTTTGATGGATTTTCATTGTTCCAGCTTTTTCATATTTCAATAATTTTATTTAGAATTTCGTATTAGTCATTTGATTTCGAATATATGCAAAAAAATTCCAATTGCCACAACTTAAGTATGACTGAGTGCCAAATTGAGCCTTAGGGTTGCTGCGGCATACAGAATTATTTGAATTGAATTCATTTACTTTCCTATAGTTTGAGAAAAACGTGGAAAAGATAGTCCATATAAGAAATCGAGATTGTTATGTTTGTGGATCATCAAACTTACACCTTAAATTCAGCACACTAGTTGCCAGTTTATACTTCCCGGACATCCAAATCGGCATTCTTTGACCATACAGCATCCAAACGCACCTACCATTATCAAAGCCCAGACGACAGCGACAGCCTCCCCAGCCATCAGCAAGTCCTCGCCAGAAGCCAAGAAGACTCTGAGAAAGGGAAACGTAGTGATCACAGGAGCCTCATCCGGCCTAGGCCTAGCCACTGCCAAGGCACTGGCGGAGACCGGCAAGTGGAATGTCGTGATGGCCTGCCGCGACTTCCTTAAAGCCGAGAAGGCTGCAAAATCAGCTGGTATGGCCAAGGAGAACTACAGCATCATGCACCTCGACCTTGCCTCCCTCGACAGTGTACGCCAGTTCGTGAGGAATTTCCGGCTGTCAGGAATG